GAGAGAGAGAGAGAGTAACTTATTGACTGCTTTGTAACACCTAAACTGTTTTATGTGGCAGCTATTTTATGATATTAGTTATCGCCGTACTTTTTAATGCACTTGGAACTAACATTAAATTTCGCAAACCTAATTTTTGTACTATGATGCTATATATCTAGGAACTGATACTCTAAAGAATGATTCGACGTTCTTGCCTCATGCAGTTGTTAGCGTGTGCCAATAGGCTTAGACACCACCTAACTTCCCGAGCTACTGGGCACTTTCGGAGGACAAGTCTTGAGCCGATGCTATACCCAGGTACGTATATGCTATACCCAGGTACGTATGTTGTTTCGAGTTTATATCTCGTATTTACGTGCGTTTTTTTTTTAAATTAAATAACCAAATTTATTGTTATTTGGCGCGGCGCTCTCTCGATTTATTGTTCTTGCTCAATGGAAGGACCTGATTTTTATTTGTACTGTATATGTAGTTCTGCCAACAAAATTAAATTACCACCAAATTAAATCTACTCTATAATCAACAAAGTTAGCAGCTTTAGCTTATTACAGATATCAATATTTTACAGCTTTATTTTCGTTAACACACATTTATAATACAGTAGAACTTTGATGAATTAATACTCTATAAATTACTTAATAAGTTCGCTTAAATAATAACTTATTTTGGCCACAACTCGATAAAAAAATATAATAAATTATTAGTTCGATAATTTAATATTTTGTTAAATTTAATAGAATTTTGTTAGTTCTGACTGAATTTATCATTTTCCTTAAGAGCCCTTAAACTTAGGTCTTTTATATATTTGTGATGATGATTATTTAATATTTCCAGAGTGTAGGATCTTGACATTTTCTGATTTGCCATTATAATATAATCTGCAACGAGAATATGCTGTTGGAATAAGACGTCTGGTTTAATTTAACTTTTGGAAAATTCTTTTTTAAGGTATTAAATAATTAAAAAATTATTGATTTTGAAAGATTGCTTGTGCCATCAGCCATGCGAAGGGTACTTCATAGTTGAGCCTCGATTTCTGGAAAAAAGATTCGACTTTGATGCTCTTTTTTGGGATGCTCTTTTTTGGGTTGTATCTTTAACCCAAACTAAAGCTGCCCATTTTATTCCCTTTCCCCTTTTCAGAATCTAATAAAAATCAGGATGTATTATTTTTATTAGGGCAAATTACGGCCACGTCCGTGAGGTTTGGTCAAATTACGGGAAAAAGCCCTCTTGTTTGGGTAATTACAGTCACCCCTTTCTTTTAAATATTTTTACATAAAACTTATGTAATTCGGTTATTTATCGAACCAAATCGTATATTTAGTTCGGTAAATGGTATGAAATGTTGGCATACTGAAATTTCGGTTTGGTTTTACCGAATTAACATCCCTAAATTTGCATTTGGAGGGGTCTTTTGTAAGATAATACATAGTTGAGGGGGCTGACTGTAATTACCTAAACATGAGGAGGTTTTCGTAATTTGAACATAACTCAAAGGGTGGTTGTAATTTGCCCTTTTTATTATGGGTTTTTGGGACTTTTGCCCCTTGAATTACACTCTTTTGGCACTTTGCACCCTTAAATTTGCAAAATTGCCAGATTTCACCCTTTAAACACAAATTGTTTGGCACTTTGCACCC